TCGACCCGCGGGGCGCCGGCGATCCTTCCGCCTCAGCCTTCCGAGTAGCCGGAACGACAGGCGCGCGCTGCCACCCCGGCTAGTTTTTTGATTTATGGTAGAGATGCGGTCTCACCAAGTTGCCCAGGCGGGTCTCGAACCCACGGGCTCAGGCAATTCACTCACCTCAGCCTCCCAAGGCGTGGGATTACAGGCTGAGCCACCGAGCGCCCCGCTCTTTTAAATTAACCCTTTTTCCTTCTAGTTCCTCTCCTCCCCCACAAAAGCCTAAAACCTGCCCGGCGGGCACGCCGTCGAGGTCACCTGGCTCGCTCCCGTCCGGGGAGGGAGGGGACAGTCGCGCGGGGTGGGGGGACTTGGCCACTGGGGAAACACGCGTGCCTCCAGGTCTAGAAACGGCCCTGGGTCAGGGTGTGTGTGTGTGTGTGTGTGTGTGTGTGTGTGTGTGTGTGTGTGTAGAGGGTACAGGCGGGGAGATACAAGTTATTCATTTATCCATCCCGTTAGGCTCTGGGTCAGGGTGTGTGTGTGAGTGTGTGTGTGTGTGTGCGCGCGTGTGTGTGTGTGTGTGTGGAGGGTACAGGCGGAGAGATACACGTTATCCATTTCTCCATCCCGTTAGGCTGGTGGCCCAGAAGCGAGCTGTGCTCTTTGCCCTAGAAAAATGGCACAGTGGGTGCAAGGCCGCAGAAGGACAGAAGGGGGCGCTGACGGGCCAGTGCAGAGGCTCTGGCCTCCCCTCGAGGCCGCACCGCCTGGGGTCTGGCTAGCTGCCTGCGTGGTGGAGCGGTGTCAGGGCTCCCGGGGTAAAAAGAACCTGCTCCCGGTGTAGGTTTCAGTCTGTGCTTGGGAGCCTCTTTTGCTCGTTCGTGTAATCGCAGAACCCCTAGCCCGCAGTGAGATGATTCAGGAAACAACCGTAACTGGTTTATTCGGTACAGTGTACCTACATGCACAAAAGTCCACAAAGACATGTGGTGAAAAAGTCACATTTCCAGGTCGCGTTCTAACTAGCTGTGATTCCGAGCACACTTTGATGTTTTAAAAAGGAAAAGGCTTGGCCTGGATGATTTTGAGGTCCTTGGAGACCCTCAGTTATTCAACCCTCTCCTCAGAAGCATCCCTTTCCAAGGCAAAGACTTATGCACCTATAAGGCATGCATTCTTGTGTAACATACTTCCTGAAAAGTGGTTAGAGCAACCGTGTTTCATATATAATACTTTTACGGGCAGATGGGGGAAGCTGGCATTGTAAAGAATCCTGTTTTTATTCTTTCATAAAGACAAAAATCTTGGATCTTAGGGAAACTTGGTTTATTTTCACAAATATGCACATTCTGGGCTCTACGTCTACAGAACTCCCAGTGTGGGGGAGTCTGTGTTGACTGTTGAGATAAAACTCAGGTACTTGCCTGCCCTGGGATCCATGCAGTATGATCCCAGCTCTCTGCATGGCTATGTACTGGAAGCCCTATGCTTTCATTTAATTTTTTTTTTTAACAAAAGCAATTACAGAAAAGTGCAAATTTAATGTGTGACATTTAACATTTTGCCGTGGCAGGCAGCCTCCACTTAAATGGGGCCTTTCTGCAGAACAACAGGAGCCAAAAGGCCTTGTGTCATGGAGTAATGTAAGACACAATCTGGGCTGCAAACGCACAATGAATCGGGAAGGATTTATGTAATTAATTGACCAGTCTTAACCTGTTATCGTGATGTAAGGAATTTGGAACTCATTAATTTGGGCTCTGACAGATTTCATATTAGAGCTGGCAAATATGGATTGAGCCTCTTATTCTTGTAGCAGCTGGAATTTCCATGACAGTGAGGATTAGTGAAGAAGACCTATTGCCAGAGTCAAACTGCCTCTTTGTAATCAGTAGCCCTTCTCTGCATTAAGGGGATAATGAAAGGAAAAAAAAAAAAGGAAAAAGCATATTACCTGGCTGAGGGAATGGGAGGGTCTTGTGTTCACTCTGCCGGTATGTGGGTCGTGCTTGAGAACTTGTAGTCAAATAAAACATTAATTTCAATCATAAAGTTAGGTGATTTCTTGAGTACCTTGAGAGAAGAGAAGATGGAAAGGTCTCAGGGTCAGGTTTGGAATTGTCAAAGACGCAGCCTTTGAATTTCCTGCATGTGCACACAGGGACTGTATGAAGAATGAAATAGAAGTCTTAAGAGGGGCAGAGGGGCTTCTCTGTAATGTCATAGCCATTAATGAGCAACTCAGAGCCCTGAAGGAAAGACTGGCTTTCTCAGAAGCCACTTCCTGTCCCCCGGTCAGAGCTCCCTGGTGGATGCCATGAAGCCCAGAACTCACATCATGAACATTTAGCCGATAATCTAATGTGGGTCCTCTTCACATTGTATGGTGTTTAATGAATCACCCATTTGGGACTGTCCAGTTTCTTTGAGATTTTAAAAGATCCAGTAAAAAAAAAATCTAACTTTCATTTTTTCACCCTTGAAAATCAGAAAATTGCTGGATTGAAAAAAGGTCCCTGAGAGTCACCAAAATGGTTTTTTTCTTCCTTCATGATTGTTTTCCCTTATTGCTGTACTGTGTGATAAGGTTCATATAACAACTGCCATAGTGATCATTAATACAGGAAGATAAGCAAAGTTGCATGTTTAAAACATTGGCAGGGTATCATTTGCCTCCTTCTGCTGATAAAGAAGACTTTGGTAACAAATACAGAGCACAGGCACTGAATATTTAACTTTTTAGGCAGAAAGCCCAATTGATCTTTCCTAATATGCTATTATTCATAAATACTCTTTAAAGTTGCTCATGAAATGTTTTTTAAAAATTGGTACATTACCTTTTAAAATTCCCAAGCATATTTTACATTTAATATGACATTAATGTAATCTACTTTTTTTTTTTTTTTTTAAAGACAAGGTCTCACTCTGTTGCCTAGGCTGGAAGGCAGTGGTGTGATCATAGCTCACTGTAGCCTCGAACTCCTGGGCTCAAGCGATCCTCCTGCCTCAGCCTCCTAAGTAGCTAGGCCTAGAGGCACACACTACCATGCCCTGCTAATTTTTTTATAGAGATAGGGTCTGGTTATGTTGCCCAGGCTGGTGTTGAACTCCTGGGTTCAAGTGATCCTCCTTCCTTGGCCTTCCAAAGTACTGGGATTGCAGGCATGAGCCACTGTACCTGACCTGATATTAACTTTTCTCTTTTTAAAATTTATTTTATTTTATTTTAAAGATGTGGGGCACAATTTGGAATTTAACTTTTCAATGCTATAAATCTTGCAAAAACAAAAAGCTATCCAACCCCTTCTCCCCACCCCCTTTTTTTTGGTCTTAATTTCAACCAAATTCCAAAGTAAAGAATTTTCTTTTTAGTTAGTGATAATAGGATTTGATCTATCAATGAAGTACTTAGTATAAATATTTGTTTGTGATTATCTTGTTAACAAGTGATTTCTTCTGCTTTGGCTCCATTTAAATGAATGCATAGATATACACACTAGAAATTTACATCCCTATATTGTTATCCTTTACACTGAGAGCAAAAAAGAGAGCTCATGGTTGTTATTGGTATTATTATTTCAGTGGGAAGGCCAATGAAGATAAACAACTGATATCAGCAAGTCTTGGATGACTAGCATAAACCATGACAAGGGCGATTAATAGTGCATGTAAACACACTTCCAGTTTGTATACACGATCTCAGCTCTCACCTAGGTTTCTTTATATATATTTGAAGGGTGATTTGTAAGTTGACAATTGCAAGGTTATCAACTCTTGTGCTGTGTGTACTGTTTATGTATCAGAGGTATGGAATAGGCGTATCAGAGTGTGATTCACAGGAGAGAATGTTGATCTGGGAGGAAGTCTGGTAAAACAGATTCTGTCTCTGCTGTTGCATGTACTCAAAGACGGCTCCCAATCTCTTTGTACCTCAGTTTCCTCACCAGTGCAATTAAAAGACGATACAGAATGTTCTAAAGCTGTTCCACGGTGTGCTATTTCTGACAAATGCTACTGAAACAAGAAGTGGGGGGATTTCCATGGTCAGTTACACTTTAGACGCATTGAATTAAACAAAGTTTAACATGACTTTTCTGCAGGACTTCTTAGTGCCTTTGATATGTTAATATTCACCGTGAATCTATGTGTTTGTGTATGTGTGTGAGGTGTGTGTAGGAGTATTGTGTACAATTTTCCTAAACTGATTCAAAGAAGAGAGGCTGAACTTCCTTTGAAGCTATAATACTTTGGATTCCTTCTCAGTCTGATTAAGGGTTGCTTGCCTTCGCCGA